TTTTTTTTTTTTTTTTGCCGAGGAAGACTGGCCCTGAGCTAACTTCTGTGCCCATCTTCCTCTACTTTATATGGGACACCCCCACAGCATGGCGTGACAAGTGGTGCGTCTGCGGCGCCTGGGATCCAGACTAGCGAACCCCGGCCCCGAAGCAGAGCAAATGCACTTAACTGCTGCACCACTTGGCCGACCCCTGTTTTGGTTTTTTTGTAGACATTCAGTGTGTATATAAATACAGAAAAATGGAATATTTTTCCCTTTGTGTTATATAAACATTAGCATTGTTCTATAAACTGTTCTGGAACTAGCTTTTTTCTTTGACTTAGCAATTTATCTTTGAGATCTTTCTGTATCAGTTCAAAGAAAACTTCCTCTTTATTTTTTTGAGTTACAAAGTATTCTGTTATATAAATGTACCACAATTTACTTAACCAATTCCCTATTGATGGACATTTGAGTTGTATCCAAGTATGGAAATAATTTTGTTATGCAAAAGTGTGTTTGCATTTTTTTCTAGAATTATAGAATTTTAGATGAGTAAGATAACTTCGAGGTCATTTAATCTAACTCCTTCATTTTACAGCCAGTATCCAGGCCTTCAGTGACTGTCTAATAAGAAAAGACAAATGGAAAAGAATAAAATTATGAAACATTCATTTGTAATTATTGCTGTATTTAGAAGCAAAAAGGTATTCTTATCTTATAAAAATACCTGTTATGAGATGTCAAATAAAAACAACTAAGAGCAACTTCCATCAGTAGAACCAATGATGTTTTTCTTTTATTCGGTCTTTAAAATTCATAGCATCGATGGGGGCAGAAAAATGGAGGGCAGTTTGGGGAAAGATAAGAATGTTATACTTTTAGGATATTTTAAATCACTTCAAGATTTCCATTATTATAAGAAGATAATTAAATATAGTTATCTTACCTTTAATACCCTATTTGTCCTAAATATTGGATTAAACCCAAAGAAGAGGTAGAAAACATCAAATGGAATTATTGATGCGACATCCAGCTGTTGGAAGAACACATTCACAATTACGTTGTGTTCACACGCTTTTTTACACACAGATTGATTTACACCAATGTATGTAAAAAGTGACCAGCCACCATGAATTATTTGTTGTTTAATATAAAATTGCTTTCACGGTGGCACTGAAAGGCACAATAGCACCATGAAAACAAGAACACTATTTCGCAGCCTACTTCCAGAGTATTTCATTTCCACCTCCTCGCGTCTGATCTCTCCCCAGGTACTGCATTTTCTGGGATTTTTGTTGAGCTGTCACACATACTTCAGATATGGTATGGTTGCTAATGTTAAAATACATTTAAGTAGTGTTTTAAATGTGGAGTTCTTGGACTGAAAATCAAGTCCATTCTCGATTTTATTTGAAACCATCGCACATTCATTGCAGTGATGTATTTTTATGTTTCAGCTAATTCTCCAGTATTCAGGCCTGAATATATTGCTGGAGGTTCATCCAAACTCCTCAATTCTTTCTACTGCTGTCTACTTTGGATCATATTGCTAACAATAAACTGCTGTGAAAGTATCTATCAGAGACCGTGCAGACTAAGAGAGAGGAGAGGAGAGAAATCCAACCCATTTACAATCAGCAGCCCCAATGGGAGAAGGTATTGAAAGTCCTATTATAGCTAAAAATATATATTTTAAAATTTGCCATATATTTAAATTATTCTGGCTTTCTATTACCTGGTACTTGTGAAATGACAACATCACACTTGAATACTTTCCTGATTGCAATGATAACAGAAAATTCTTTTATGTAAGATAATTATTCATTTTCATTAATTTTTATGTGGTTTGAAAAATAGGGAACATTAAAAAAATTTAATTTATTTAAGACAGTTAAGAGCAGTTAAGAACTTTCTGTAAGGCCATATATATGAAATGGAGAGTTGAGGTAATTAATTGTATACCAGAATTTCACAATGGCCTAGCGCTATTGAAAAGAAATGGAGCTTTCAGTTTGAATTAACCAGATTGGCTATTATAAACAGATTACTCACTAAAAGTATTGGTTTAGAAATTGCACCATATCATCAAACCTCATTGATTTTACCCTACAGATATTGAGCCTCATAACAAGTGAAGTGTACAGAATAGCTACTAAAATAACTTCTTACAAATAGGAAAGCAGGAGCATGGAGCTGTTGACTTGTCCAGTGCTATTCTGGCATCCATGTTTTCTGGCTCAAATCATAATGATCTTTTTCTTTAAGCTTTAAAATAACTTTTTTAGAACAAATATGTCAGAATAATGATCTTTTTACTCGACTGCCCACTTGGCTTCTCTATGTGGTCATTAACCGTGTTTGATATTAGCACATTAGCATGGAATTGTGTAGGTAGAGATGATTTATTTCCCATTGAACTGTAGAAAATTGAATTAAGCATTGACCAACACTGTGCTCTGTACAAGCCACTTTTCAAAGCATGTTGGGGTTGAAATTGCAGTAAGATGTTGTTTCTGTCCACAAGAAGTTAACTACCTAATAGAGGAGTAAGCACAAGAAGTTAACAATCTAATAGTGGAGTAACCAAGCACAAAAATGACTATAATTCAAGCCATAAGACAGGCAGGATGTGCTAAAGGAATTCAAAAGGAGAAGTGACCACAATTAAATAAATGTAAAATTTTACACTTATAAACTCAAATTAAACATATGGTTAATTTGCTCTTATTCAAACTCAAGACAGTGATTAAGAGTTTGGAATAAGCTTTACGGCACTTACAAAGGATATTCATCCTCTTTGTAGAGTTCATCAAAGGAGTGTAGATTTTTTATGAATGTGTCTAAGTACGTGGCAATTATTTACAAAGAAAATTGGTTGGACATAAAAACAGATTGAAAGAGATTTTAATCACCACAGATTGCCAATAGAGACAATTTGGCACTTAAGTCCAGATTTTTATTTAAAAACAAAATTTGAGGCCACTCAAGGATTGTCCTTGGAGTGGGAGGCTAGAGTTCACTCACACAGATTGGGTAACCTTGGATAACCCCCAATCTCTGCCTATTTCTCAGAGTTGGGGGGAACAAATAAAAGATAAGAAAGTACTTTGCAAATAATTATGGGTGAAAAAACATAAGATTATAATCTTATGTGAGGAGAGGAAGATACCATGTTATATAAATTATTGCTTCTTTTCTATTTTTTATTCTGCTTATATGGATGAGAGAGAAACAAGAGTGGAAACAATTTCGTAGACTTTTACACTCTCGTGCTACGTGAACTGGAGGCTAGAATTCTGTGTGGACGAGACAAAGTACACCTCATACTGCTTTACTGACATTTAAACTAGAATTTAAATGTGGGCACTAACGTTTTGTTCTGCCTAGCAAAGACCCATATGTTGAATTACACATTTGCACATACAGGGAAGTGTAGCTTGTAATTATTGAGAAGCAAAAACTTCAGGCCTGCCTTTGCCTAATAAAATTTCATCTGTATAAACTCTGTTACAAAGGCTATAATTCTGAAAGAAAGCAGAGTTTTTTTGGTAGAAATCTATAGATGGGACTCAAAGTGAAAATGGTAATGGGTTACTTGAACAATTTTGAAATTGTAAGTCACCTACCTGAAATTTTGTAGAACTCCTGTAGTGTTTCTTTAGTTCATTTGAATCCACCTGAAATGTTATATTTATATTTTATATAAATTTTAACCAATTTCATCAATTTTCTAACTTTAAAAAATATTTATAGCTATTTCTCTTTACTGATTCCTTTCAACTTCAGCCTATAAATATGCTCTAGTTTATCACATCTTAAAATAAAAAAACCTTCATTGGCATTTGTTTTCTTTTTGCTTTTGCCCTATTGTTTGTCACACTCAAGCTTTTAAGAAAATCACCGACATTGCTTTGCTCCACATCCTTGCCTCATCTTTATTCTCAATCCATGGCAATTTGGGTTCTGCCCACCGCTCTTATCCCATCAAGACTACCAGTGTGAAAGCCACCAGTGATCTCCTCATGATCACACCCCGGGAATCCTTTATAGTACTTAGCATTTTTTTTAAGGCGCTCACCATATTTTGCAATTGCACATATATTACTTGTTCCATTTATTTGAAATCAGTTTACTACATTAAGTGGTTCTATCTCAGGACAAAGTTGATTTTGTTTAGCAACTGTATATAACTAGAATACACTAAAAGCCCAGTAAATATTTGAAGGGATGAATACATAAAGGAGCGAAGAGATGACTAAAAGTTTTTGAAGCATCTAACACTTTTTTTTGGACAATTTTGTCCCTGGAACTTTCTCTTTCTAAAGAATCTATAATGCCATTCTTGGTTTACTTCTTCAGTTTCAACTTTTTGGTGTCTGTCTTGAATTCTTGGGCTAGCCATTTCAAAGTCAGTGTTCCCCAGGATTCAATGATCTCTTTTCTCTTTACACTTGCTTCCTGGGAAATTCCATCCACTTTCATAGTTTCAAAGATCACCAGGTCTGTTGATGCTACCAAATCTCTACCTCTACCTAATATCCTTTTCTTGAGCTGTTGACCTGTACAAGCAACTGCCTATTGTCATCTTCATTTAGCACTTCTGCTCATCTCAAATTTAACCTACACCAAACCTGAATTCATCATCATTCTCCATTCCTGTTAAGCCTACCATGCTCCTCCTCTTCCTCTTCCCATTGAGTACCCTAACAGCATTCTCATCTACACTCGTCAGTGACCCTATACTACTCACCCTCCCTCAGCCCTCATCCCACCAGCAACCAAGTTCTACTGATTCTTCTTCCTAAAATCTTCTCATGTCCATTCTCTCCCTTTGGCATTGATCTCCTTGCCTTTGGTCTTGCTCTCCTAGATCCATTCTGTGGGGAGAGAGGGAGAATCTCCTTCTGCCCTTTTCCTTAAGGTTCTTATGGCTGGCCAAATAATTAACAAGACAGGTTAGCAGGAGAAAATAATACCAAGTTTAATAACATGTATACATGGGAGAAACTCAGAAATGAGCAACTCGTCCCTCTGTCTAAGCTGCTTGCTTAAGTATTGCAGCTAAAGGCGAGGAGCGTGTTGGGGGTGGGTAGTGGTCTGGGACTTCAGAGGGAAGGAAGACAATTCTTTTCAGGGTCATCTATAGATAATGTGGTCAGGGAGAGACAGAGTTTTTGATAAAAGGGGCTTGGTGCCTTTCCTATTGTAACCTCTATCCTACATTATCTTTACAGCCATCATGATAATAACTCCTTCTTGAAAGAGATCTTTTGTTTTAAATTCTTTAGGCAGTTTGGGAGGGGAAACTCAAATATTCTTCCTGAGTTCTCTGAGTCCTTATTGTCTTCAGCTCCAAATAATCCACATACCAGAGTGGTGCCTCCTGGGGTAGCTTGCCCTGAGCACCATCAATTCTACAACAGCAGCCAGATGATCTCTCTAAATCAGGTCATTTAACAATCCCCATTTACGTCAAATCCTGTGACTCTACATGACTTTAAGAAAAAAAGTCCAAGCTCCTTTTCATGGTAGGCTCTAGTTTTTCCGTCTCACTCACCTCCTGCAGCACCCCACACCACTGTTTAGTAGTCCTCAAATGCATCACAGAGTTTCTCACCTTGATGCCTTTGCCCATGCTCTTCCCAGAGCTTGGAACATATTTTTTCCCTTTTCTGTGGGGGTGGAGGTGTGCAGATAACTTAAATTCATCCGTCAAGATTTGGACCAGGTTGTCCCCTCCTTCACATGGTTTTCTCTTCCCCTCACAGCCCCGGGCTCACCTCTCTCACAACTCACATCACAAAACCCCACCATTTTTCTTTTGTCTGTTTGTCCTTCACACTCTGAGCTACTTAAGAGGGTAGGGACCATGTCTTTGTCCTCTGTTTCTCCAGTTCCTAACACAATGTCTAACACATAGGCGTTGCTCAATACATGTGTGAGAAGTGATAGATGAATGGGGAGGCATTTGTTAACATTCAGGTCTAAAAGAATTAATGCTAATATTGGACTTACGTTCTAATATTTCAGTTAGGGTTAGGAAGGAATTGTGTATGTACTATTAATTAGTTGATCAACATATTATAATTTGGACACGTGGAAGCAGCATCTTCTAACAACTATCATTCAGGCTGTCCAAGTTCAGAAGTTTTAACACTGCTGAGCAGTGTTAAAGATTGGCTAGCCAACTCCCCAATTTCTGCCCCCACTATACTTTTCTCTGGCTGTAATTTTTACTCATGTACACAATCTAAATTTTACAGAAATGTATTAGAAAATATATAAGACATGCTTATTTAATGATTTTCACTGTGAAACAAAATGGCTTACTGAGCCACAGGTAGACAGAGACAGAAGGTTAAGTTGAATCCTGTACCAAGCTTGAGTAAAATCACTTAGCTCCTTCAAAGCCTATACGGGACAGATAGATACATTTCAAGTGCTAAGAAGTTGTTAAAATACCACCCCCTCCTCTAACCCTGGAAGAATGTTTTTAGCACATTTATCCCTTTACTTTCAGGGTTGTCTATGATCCTATGATTGAATAAATGTAAATAAAACTAAAACTTACTAGATTAAATGAAAATGCCATCTAATGATTCTGAAATCCCTCTTCTTTGGAGCACCAAATACATTTGGCGTCATTAGCCTTACGAGGATCAGCATGCTTACCGGTAACAATTAGGCACTTATTTTTAAAATGTCACCCCATTTAATTCTCTTTCTTCTAAGCCTCATCATTATGCACGAGACATTTCTTTAGGGGAGGCTTACTTTAGGAAGGGTATGCTAATTGCACCTAAATCCTTTTCCAATAGTTTTTGAAGAAGCTCTACCAAGGTATTACTTTTTATCTACTTCTTCTTTTAAAGAATTCATAGAAACTCCATAATTTCACATAGAACAGATAGAAATATTTCAAAAATAATAATATCATCTGAAATAAATACAATGAAGATTAAATAATTATTCAAGAAAAGAAAATCCTTGAAGCAAGATTACTATTCATTCATTCCTTCAAACATTTCTTGAGTATACTCTCTGAGTTCCTAGGATAGATAGAGAAATGAATTGAATACTGTCTCTACTCTTGAGAAACTTATTATTAGGGAAGAAAGAGAGCTACATATATAAATATGAGACAAGAGAGAGAAGCTAAGTATGTGGATATTCATTCATTTGATTCATTCAACAATTTACTGCACATCTTCCAGATGCCAAACCCTCACTAGGTAGACACATTATCTTATTTAATCCTCACAATAGGTTTACGGAGTGGATACTACTACTCCCGTTCTATGGATGAAAAAGATAGTATTCAATGAAAGGGTAAATGTATTTTCTTCAAGTAATGCTGCTGGTGGAATTTGACCCTGGTCTGTTTGTTTCTACTACATCATAATTAGCCTAATTGTTATTAAATTAATTGCTTATTAATTAATTAAATTAATTCTGTTATTAATTAAGTAACAGAAGCATGAGTGAAGTGTACAGAGCACAGAGGAGGGAGTGGTTAATTTTCTTCAGGTCAGTTTATAAACAGTAACTAAGAGCCTAAAGAAGTTGAGTCTAGTGGCGGCCTGACTGGCTGTCACTAGATGGCGCTGAGCATCTCCATGGAGCCTTGTGATACACAGGTTTAGCAAAGGATTGGGGGTGGGAGAGTCTCATATCTAAATAACTCCCACTGTCATTGCGAACTCTATTTCTGCCGTCTATAAAAGAAATTAAGGACAAGAGACTTTTTTGTTGGTCCTTGATTCAAAATTCTGTTCTCTATTTGTGCAGCACCATTTTCAGAAGAAAGATATTGCAAATAAATGCTGTGGAAAACTTGGGAACACTCCCAATCCCCAGTATTGTGGCTTTTCCCACCTCAACCTGTTGTCTGTTACTTATCTGTTTTCCCTAAGGCCTTGGGGAATTAATATTTCGCTCCTCCAGCCCTGGTGCTTACCTGGCAATTGTAGGTATTTAATAAATGTTTGTTGAGTGAATGAACGAATAATTTGCTGGTGTACATCAAAGATAGCATGGATAGCTAAATGTAGTGAGACCTTCAAGTTGCGTACATAGTCTTCTTACCAAAATGTAATCAAGTTTTAAAGGCTAAAACCACCTACTCTAAATTAAAGAAACCGTTAAACTTCTTTAGAACAAACAAAACAATCAGTTTCTGCTCTATATTTGCGGCTTGTGATAATGCATTTTAAGTAGAGCCTGTTGAGTGTGTTTTTATTAGTTATTTTTCTTGGTTTTAACACTCTGTTGTGTGCAAAGGCTCCCTAGAAAATTGAAAATAAAAGTCTCCCCTTACTGATTTTGTCATTTTCTATTTGTCAAACATTGATTTTCTCCCCCCTTGTGCACCTAATGGAGGTTGAAATTAGTGCTCTTTTTTCTGTGTTGTTTACTTCTTATTTATACACCATCATCATCATTCATCAAGCTGCCAGTGAGCTCTGGGGACAGTGCTGTGAGTTAACCAACGCTCTGAAGTCTGCACAAAGGATATTTTGAATAGATTTTTGCTACAGCTTCAGTTCTTGCCTTTAGAATTTCTTTCTAGGAAAGATTTCAAATATAGGAGGTATTCCCCAGCAAATAATATTGTTTTAAAAGAAAAACATAACCAAAATGACTCCTTTCAGCTTTTTGATAATTTAAAATCATCTGGAGATTCAAAAGAAAATATTCAGGAGATTAAGAAATCTACTTTTTTTCTCCAAAAATATATATGAACCCAAGGTGCCATATGCTGGATCACTCTGCTCTTCCTACCGTGACATTGGAAGATCTGTTCTCTGCAGCCCTTGCTGGGACAGTGAAAAGATATTGCCATGGACGTGACTTGGAAAGGAAGCATCCTTCTAGGCAGCTGGGGAGTGGGCCAAGGAATAGAGGCTCTGAGGTTTGCGTACGTGCTTGTGAAAGTGTATTCTTCTGTCTATGTCTTAGATTGATTGGATTGGCTATGAAACGCCCTCAACACTGAGAATAAATCCAGGAGAAGATACTTTCTCCTAAGAGTAAGAATGCTAGTTGCTGAGGTAGGCCACTGCATCTGATGGTGAGAAATGGGATGTGATGAATCTGGAAAGCGAATAGTGAAAAGAAGATAGGCCAGTAGATACCATATTAATTAAAAAACAAAACAACACAACACAATCACGTGCTTGTGATTTGCACCCGTCTGCAGGGTGTGGCTTCAGTCCCTATGGTCTGCTATCTCGATGGAGATCTTCACGGCTCATTGCTCTCTGGTTGCCTTATAGCGTTATCCAATAGTATATTTTGCAACAGTGGCAATAGTCTGTGCTGTCCGATACGGTAGCTGCTAGCTGCTTATGGTTACTGGGCACTGGAAATATGGATAATGTGGCTGAGAAGTTTGAATTTTTAATGTTAATCTTAATTAATTAAAATGTAAATGTGAATAGACACGTGTCTAGTGGCCACTCTATTGGACAGCGCAGTGAGGCTACACTAATCAAAAGGGTCATGACAGCTTTTCTTTCCTTTTTAAGTTAGGTTTTCCCAAAGCATCCAGGTCTAAAACCTTGGACTTGATTTCTGTACTGTGTGCAAGCACTGTGCTTGGTGATGACTGCACAGTGATAAACAAGATAGGCTGTGTCCTAAAAAACTTAGTGCCTAGAGCTTTCTCATGACACCAGGTTGTCTCCCGAGGAGGCTGAGTGGACTCGATTGAAGGAAATGATATCTGCCTTATTTACAAAGAAGAATGGCAGATTGTCATGTGGTAGAGAACACAGGCCTCACAGAGTGCTGGAGGCTTGGTTACTAGAGGAATATGTATTAAATTATTTCTTCCTTTTGCATTGATAATTTATACATTTCTTTACATTGTTTAGTTAAAATATGTGTACAGTTTTGACATTCCAGACCTGGCATCATTTTTGTATCCTCAAGGCCTATCAAATTCTGCAAAACTTGCCAACCTGAGCTAGCGTGGTGTAGTTGTAATGAGCACAGGTTTTGCAGTCAAGGCCTGGGTCTGAATCCCGCCTTGGCTACGTTCACCTCCCTTCTCCAAACCTCAGTTTCCCCATCTGCAAATGGGGCTAATGTCTTCCTCATAGGGTGATTGAAAGGATTGAGTGAGACATTGTGAATAAATCAACCAGAATAATAATGAGAGCACACAGTTAGTATGCCCTCACCAGGCACTAGACACAGCCCCAAGCTCTTTACACGCATTGATTCATTCAGTCTTCCTATCCACATGACGAAGGTACTGCTGTTATTCCCATTTTTAAGACGAGGAAACTGAGGCACAGGGCGATGCATGGTCCCCAGCACATAGTGAGTGCTCAATGGTTGTTTTGTTGTTGTTGCTATAATAATAATTACTATTATTATCATACTGGTGGTTTCCAGTGGTTAAAGGCCCATACATGCGGAGACAGCCAGTCAGACATTATTAAATAAAACATTGTTAATTTACTTTTTGTAGTCCCATCTGATATTCGTTTGTCGGTTTCTGCTTCTCCCCAGCCCCACTTACTATTATGTCTCCTCCTCTTATAAACTGGAGTCTGGGCTGGATCAACAGCAGATCGCAAAGGTAGATGGTGTCACACACCCCGTCCGTGATGAGCCAGTAATGCGTGTTGTCCGGTGTCTGGTATGGAAAGATGAGGCGCAGCGGGATAAGCCAGCAGTTCCAGTTATAGGCGAGGGTGACGAGCAAGAGCCACAGGAGGTAGAGGCGATCTAGAAAACCGGGAACTGGAGTGACCCACATGGCACGTGGCAGGCGTTAAAATAATCCTCTCGCTGAGTTGGGTAAAGTTGGGGCACTTCCTCTGGAAATGAGCACTTTGCTCTAAGAGGCTCCGTGGAACCGTCAGACTATTCTGCATCTAGAGCAGGGGGCACTGGCACCAGGGAGGTTAGCGGTCTTATCAGCTCCTCCAGCGTTGAAGAGTGTCCCTCCTGTCTCGTAGAGAAGGGGCCACTCTGAGTGCGTCCCCACAGCCACTGTTCTACATGGGTGGGGAGAAGGGAACCCACGAGAAGCCAGAGGTCCCCGCTCAGGACGGCTGCAGCAGCAGCCTTTGCGCATGGGTAGTGCAGCTGCAGGGTCACTGGGTGTGTGGGGAAAGGCCACATTAGCCCAAAGGTGTGTGGCTGAGTGGGGAGGGCAGAGAATGGGCCATGAAGGCCATCCGTTTCGCTTCACACATCCCTTCTTCTGTCCCTGGGAGGCCATAGGAGGGGATTCATTCGATTAGAATAATTGACAGTATGAGCCCTGGAAGGAGAGGAACACATCATAATGGTTTCTTAGGGGAGGGGTGTCAGTGTAAATACTGCCAAGTGCTTTGGGGCTTTCTTTTCAAAAGTAATTAGGGGCAGGTAGACCCTGGACTGCCTTTTAAAAATAGGCAGGACTATTTTATTTCATCTTCACCAGAGAGGGGCAAATGACCTATTGCATATTTAATATAGTTTAAATTCTGCTTTCTAGATAGATTCAGAATGTGGGCTAGGGAAAACGGAAGCCATCTGCGGCTCTGGGTTACAGGGGCTCTTGGTAATAGCCAGCCATCCCACTGAGAGAGTCCCCCTTTGGTGGTACCTGTGTACGAATCTATGCTTTGTGGAAGTCTGATTCGCTTTAGGTACTCTGTCAGAGGCATCTTTTGGACTTTCCAACACAACACGTGATAGTAATGTTTTTCTATGAGCTTAGCATTGCTTTCTTGTGTTGAGGATACAGCTGTGGGCTTTGCTTCATAGGAAAAAAAAGATGAAAATGCTTTTAAGAGGTTAAGTTCACTTAAATTAGCTTAATGAGAAAAAGCTTGGATTTCTTGAAGTCAGAACATTCCAGAATCTTCCCCTTTCCATACAGGCATTTGAAATATTTTATGACATTTAAAATAGTGACATTATGAAAATATCCAGCTAATGAACTGGAATTTGGAAATATACAGGTTTAAAGCTCACTAATAAAGTGTCCCACAGGTATTACAAATAGGATATTTTAAATAAAAACCTGATTCGCACATATTTTGGAGCATAAATAAACTGAGTGCTTTGGATTTACATTAAACAGAAACATTACAAATGTACCCAATTCCACAGGATTTAGTTTCATGCTTCTTTATGAGTAAATAAAGCTCAAAATATTCTTTTCAACATATATTTATCAACCTATAATGACTGTTTTATTTTAGCCCCTTCTCTTTAAAAAGAAACTACTATATAATATAAAGTTTATTTTGAAAATCCAACTTCCCTTATACAGAATTATAAGGAAATCCTCAACTCCATCCCATGTAAGTAACAATTTTACTTTTATTTATCTGTTATTAAACAACCAAACTTTCTCCTATGTTTTGTCTATACATAAATAAACATTTTAAATAGATGCAATCATAGTGTATGTCTCTTTTGGGCTCTACTTTATTGTACTTATTAATTTTTCATAAACATATTTCTGTAATTATTAGAGAGGTTGACGATTGTCCCTCCCCTTATGTGATTAGTTTGTTGTTGTCCTCTGCTCTGTTGTGTACTCAGGTACTCAGTGTTCTTGTGTTTTTATCATGAGCGCTTTGTGTATTGTGGGTGTTCATGGTTAATGTTTACAATAAAACTTGCTAGAGCAGATATTGCTGTTGGCCTGTGCGTGTGCTGGGCCCTGGAGGCCGTGTGCAGAGGGCTCTCTGGGGCTCTTTGCTGGAGGGTTTTCTCCCAGCTGGCTTGTTTAACGTGCTGGAGAGTTAGCCAACATGCCCCAGCGGCAACCCTCAGCCAACGCAGGACAGGAGGTGGTGGATTGATACCCCAGCTTCCTCCTCCCTCAGGGTAGTGCTTAGTCTCAGGGTAAGTGTCATCCACACAGATTTTCAGCTGGATGACCCCCGGTGGCTGACACCAGTAACCCTGTCATTAACACACCTTTATTGTCTTAACTCCCTTCTCTGTCTCTCTTGCCTGCCTTCCCCTGGGCAAGGGGTCGACCTCAATATAAACTATTTATACTAAGTCATTGTCTCAGGGTCTGCTTTTGGGGAACCCAAACTCAGACATTTGCAAAATACATGTCCCCTCACAGCTTCCTTCTTCAGTACTGTGGTAACAGTGCTTACTGGTTTGGGGGCTGGCTTCAGCTGAGGATATGTCATTTTCTGCCAACTTTCTCTTGTACAGGGCTGTCCTCTGACGCAGCCTCTTCACCAGGTTGTGTAGCTGGGCGTCAGCATACTCGTTGATAATAGGCGATCCAGGGGGTTTGCTTTTTGGACTAAACGAGGGAAAAAAATGGCGATAGAGATAAACTCATGAGGAGATAAATACAGGGACTGGATTAGGTCTTTTCACCTTCCTTATATACACAAGAATGTTAGCTGCTCCTTTCTGCAATTGAATAGAACAATTCAAGCGTTAGGACTGATGGAAATAGTGCTGGTGCAAAACAGATTTGCCATTGAAAAACCAGAATCCAAAAATAGCAAATGGCCATTCTTGACCATAGTGGATCTTGATGACTGTGATTCTGCCATGAAATTGTATCATTAGGAGGAAAAAAGCTGTGGCAGAAGTCTAAGATGGACCCTTGGTGTGCACGCCCCGCATAATCCCGGGGAAAAGGAATACGGTGGATTTTACTCCCATGATTACTTCATGTTAGATGGCTCAGTCAACTTGAAGATGAAGAGATTATTCAGGTGAGCCTGATGTCACCAAATGCGCCCTTTAACAGGAGAGCGTTCCTCCAGCTCGTGACAGAGCAGAAAGTCAGAGGCATGAAGCACGGGGAGAAATCCTCCATCTTTGGCTTTGAAGAATAAAGGGGCCCCCCGATAAGAATTGCATGAGGCCTCTAGGAGCTGAGACAAGGAAACAAGGAAACAAGGACCACGGTCGCACAGCCACGAGGAACTGAATTCTGCCCATAACTGGAAGGAGCTTGTCAGTAGATTCTTCTCCAATGCCTCCAGGTGGAGCCCTGCCAGGCCTGGCTGACACCTTGATTTCAGCTGTGTGAGACCTTCAGCAGAGAACACAGTCAAGCCCACCCAGAATTCTGGTCTATGGTACTGTGAGATAATAAATGGTGTTGTTTTAAGTAACTAAGTTTGTGATAATTTGTTATGCGGCAATAGAAAACTAATATAGCTAGTGTGCTTTAATGAACTTCCTTTCTAAGAAAACATACAGACTAGGACGGGGTATAAGATATAAAGTAGCATACTTCAAACAATCTGAGTTTCCTCACAGGTTTTCCTCAGAGCTCTAACTACCTTCCTCCTGAGGTCTGACACTGGGTCTACACAGGCCCACATGGATTCTATTCATTCTCACCTCCTCACATCCATATCTGCCCCTTCAATCTCACTTCCAAACCAGAACCCAAAGGGTTCACATTGCAACTGGGTGACCTGTGAATTCCATTTAAAGAGAACCCTAGTGTGAGTCCCTCCCACTAATCTCCATTCCCCATCAGGTCCACAAATATATCATATCTATAATTGTTTACAGATTCCCAGACCGTTGGTGTCTTTCTCTCTCCCCTTCTAATTATCATGGTATAATTTATACTTCTTTCAAATGTCAAAGGTCTTGCTGCAGCATCAAGATTCTTCAAGTGAGTCCCACTAACTAAGACCTTTATAAACCTTCTCAAGATGGTGAAGACTGAGCAGCAGTGGAAGAAAATCTGATACATCGTAAACAATACAGAAACAGGGGAACATTAGGTCCACAAAACCAGAATAACTTTTTTTTCTGATTAAGAAGTGTTGTGGTATATATTTTTAACTGATTCTTCTTAAAATCTTAGTATGCCTGGAAGTTTATTCACCCATCAAACGATTATTGAGTTTCAACTTTATGTACTGGAAATATACATAAAGTTAGAGAGTTAAACACCTTATGGACGTTCATAGTTTAATGGGGGAGGCAAGGATGTAAATAAGTAGCTAATAATAAAGATAACGTGTGAAGTGCTATGTTCACACTGAATTGGCATGGGCTATGAAGGAAGGGCTTCTCAGAGAATGCATCCTTTTGAAAGGATCAAAAGGCCTTCGACAGAAATGAAAGAAGGGGCTTCCAGGTCTTGAGAACAATATGTTCAAAGATGTGAAAAAGCATGACATGTTCAGCAAATATTTTGGTGTGACTGGAACAGAGTGTGTATATGGAGGGGTTCAGGTGGCTGGGGGTGGCAGGAGTGGTGGTGGTTATATCTGAAAAGGTGAGTGGGGTCAGGGTATAATGGGTCCTATATGACCTGCTTAGGAGTTTGGACATTAACTTGTAGGCTAATGGGAACCAATGCAGAGTGTTAAGCAAATGAGATGTATGAACAGACGGAAGTTTTAGAGAAGCAGCAATAGCAGGAGAGCCGAAAAGGAGCCACGTCAATACATAGAGGCAAGGAAAGAAGTTAATAGGTTAGGTTAGAGCTGGCGAGGGAACAAGAGAGGGACTAAAGAAATACACTAGAGGGGCTGGCCCTGTGGCTTAGCGGTTAAGTGCGCGCACTCCGATGCTAGTGGCCCGGGTTCTGATCCCGGGTGTGCACCGATGCACCGCTTTTCAGGCCATGCTGAGGCCGCGTCCCACCTAGAGCAACTATAAGGATGTGCAACTATGACATACAACTATCTACTGGGGCTTTGGGGAGAAAAGGAGAAAAAAAAAAGGAAGAGGATTGGCAACAGATGTTAGCTCAGGGCTGATCTTCCTTCCAAAAAAAAAAAAAAAATAGAAATATACTAGAGGCAGACTTCAAAGGATTTGAACTTTCTGGATCTTTTGGATAAATCTAAACAGGGAATCAAGAATAACTCCTAAGTTTCTGTCACAAGAGACTAGATTCATGAAGATGCTGATATAAATAGGAATCCAGAAAGGAGATATTTGTATGTAGTGGGTGTATGGGAAAAAAAGAATTTTTTTGTGTGTATGTGTGTATATGTTCAATTCCAGGTGTTTATAAGACCTTGTGTGATAGGACCTTGCTTGTGATACCCAAGAGGCTTTCAGAAACACAGTTCTGGCAAGATCCTGGTGGTTATCAGCTATGTGGGATGTTTGAAGCCATGTGTGTAGATGACGTCATCAAAGACTGAAGTCCTCAAGGTCAGAAACTGTGTGTTTTCTTTATACTCCACAAGAAACAGTAGTAAGTGTTTATTGAATAAATAAACCCACTACTTCTAACATTTTGTTTGACCTTATTTGATGAGCCTCAATGTACTAAAAAAATCTAAACAAAGTGAAGTTGAGGGTTGGTAGATCATTAACTGTAAAGTCAGGTATTCAAACTGTCAAAATGTGTAATTCAAGCCCTAAGCCCTAAGAACAGTGTTTTTCTTTTCCCGAATTATTTGTAAGCCCTAATTGACCATATAATTGCCACTTAATCACACCATTTTGTACTGTGCAAACCTACCTTATGGTTAAAATGCTGAAAATTGTATTAGAAAGCATGCCAGCATTTCAAATACATAGCTATATTTCAACCACTATTCATTGTTTTTGTATTAGCTGAGCATTAATACGTCAATCTATTTCATCTTTTCTTTTTTTCCAGTTTCTTTTCTGGAGTAATCCTTGCCTGTCTTCTCCTTTGCCTATATATATACAAAAGCTCTGAATATATTTTTCTTTAGGTAATTTTGTGACTGAATGGAAAAAGGCAAATACTCATGAAGAAACATATTTTAAACAAAAAATTGAATGGGAGTAGAAGAGGGAAGCAATGGGTATGCCTTATATAACTATGCTTCATTTGAGCTATATTTGATTTTTCTTGTTTGTATTACTAATCGTATATTTTTAAAAGAATTATTCCTCATAATTCCTTGATTAAAGAATTGGTAACGAGTAAACATATTTTACAAATTTCGATAAACATAGAAGGAAAGTCTTTTTGCATAGTCATTTCTTATTGAGATACATGAGGCTTTTAAAATTTATGTACCTATGAAAGAATAAATAATTACTTATTGTTAGAATAAAATTTATTCCTTTTTTGATAGGTTACAGAGAAAACTTATTTTTTAAAGAAGCTAGTGAAAAAATATAATTATAGCAGTATTCCTCATTTCTTTAAATTCAGTTAGAGATATAGGCAAGAAAAATCATATTGACGATTTTCCCTGTGATTGGGATTGCAGAAGCTTTTGCACTCCAGGGCAATGCGTCATAGTAACTTTGGGATGGGTTAGAAGTGGGGCATTCTTCTGTGAAGTGGGAGAAAAGCCACTGTGAAAGGGGAGGTGGAAAAGAAAAACGTGTGGTCTTCAGGTGTACTCAGGAATATCAGTTTTGAGAAAGTACATACATAAGATATGGATCTTGAAATTGATTCTTTTAAAACTGAGTTTGTTAAGACCTTGGACGGTTTTCATGTACATCCAGGGATACATGTTCTGTCGTTTAGGATTGCTGCTTTAGTATAACACAAAGGGATGACTTTTTGATGGGGTAAGATGGGTAGGTGGTGGCCAGGGATGAGTTCACAGAGGAAGTGATTTGAGTAGAACCTTGAAGGATGAATGTACTTTGATAATATAAGGGGAAGATATTCAAGGCCAAGGAAAGAGCCTGATAAAAGGAGTATTAGTTGCTGCCTTGTGGAGTAGGATAAAGGCACAAACATTTTAATGTGGGATCCCAAGTCACCTATAATTTGACTTGAAAGTTCAGTTGAGACCAATGGGGAGCTATAGCAGAATTCTAAGCAGAAGAGGGCCATTATTAGCTATGTTTTAGAAAAATAATTGAAACAAGATGATTAGTTGTGGTGAGAAGGAAGTATGACTTGAAGAAGGGAGTCAAGTTCAAGTATTCAGGTTAATGTAAATTTAAAGTTTGGTCAATGTAGTAGATTGAATAGTGCTCTGCCAACATTCATGTCCTCAGAACCTCACTATGTGACCTTACTTAGAAACAGGGTTTTTACAGATGTAACCATTTAGGTTAAGATGAAATCATACTGGAGTAGGGAGGACGTTAATCTAACCACTGGTGTCTTTATAAGAAGGCCAAATGAAGACATGGAGGAGACACACGGGGAGAATGCCATGTGACAACAGAGGCAGAGATTGGAGGGATGCTCCTACAAGCCAAGATACACCAAGAATTGCCGGCAAACAGGAGAAGCTAGGAGAGAGGTATGGAACAGACTCTCCCTCAGGCTTTCAGAAGGACCAACCTTGCCAACACCTTGATTTCAGGCTTCTAGCCTCCAGAACTATGAGAGGATAAATGTATGTTACTTTAAGCCAC